ATGCATACACAGAGATATGTTTGCAAAACATATATTTTTGCGTCTTACTGCAGCAACCCAGGCCATCCGATGCCTTTTTGTTATTTCTGCCACCTTCTGTCCATATCCACACTGTAAAACCCAAAAAGTTAAGGTAACTCAAACCGTTTGGAAACTGATTGCAACAAATCATTTAAGTTCAAAAACTAATACTATCGAGTACTGTGAACTTAGTCCATTTAAGCTGAAGTAATGAGGTATTTAATTAACTCACTACCTTCAACACTGAGTTCAAAACTCTTTTCAAATGAGTAGAGTTAACTTTCAGTCAATTTTGAGTTAATTAAACTCATATCATTTGATGCAATTGACTGTTGGGTTTTACAGTACATTGTTCCAAGGGGAAAAAAAAATAAAAAATCTGTTACCAAGATTAATTTTGTTTCCTTTTCAATCACGGGACTTACTGTTACAGCCCTTATGCAGCAAGAACGTATATCCATATGTGTTTGTTTTGCGAAAACAATCAAACCAGTGAACAGCTATCAAGAATTCGAATCCCCCCCCCCGAAATGGCGGCTACACCCATAACGCAACTCGCCAATTGCAAGGATGATATTACCTGACAAAAACTGATAGGGTGGAGCTAGACTCGCTGCTGAATGCTGAATGGTTCACAGAGAATCATTACTTGTGTGTGCAAAAAGCCAGGGAACGACGACACCATACAACAGCACTGTTTTGAAAATGCTATTATGATTATGTGACAGATAAAACGGACGGCAGGTTTTAATCTTGTGGTCTCACACATACACGTGATGCAGAATAGCCAGTCAGAGTTTACCAAGTTTGAACTTTCGAACCCAGTGACATGCAAAACTTGACACATACATTGCACTTCCAGTCTGCTGCATTCGCTTGCATATGAATGGAAGTCAATGGGGCAAAAAGTGCACCATGACCGCAGCTTAAATCGTCATTTTTAAGCAGCTCATTTGCATCTAAATGAGCATACAAAATTACTTGATTTTGCTCACACAACCCCCCAAAAAAGTGGGGGTTTTGTAGCTGAAGCTTCTGCGAGTCTTTGATTTTTTAAAAGCGGTATTCGAGTGTTCATATATTTGTGTTTGATGTATGGAATGCTGTATTGACTTGCCTGAGGTGTGAAGCTTGACGTGGGTGTATGCAGGACACAATTATAGTTTCTTAACCTGACAGAGAGTGCATTGGTCATGACCACAGACCTCAAAAGCTCTGGTAAAATAAAAAAAGCTGCTGGTAAGAATGCATTGATCCATAATGGATTTTTCCCTGCATGCCGGTCAGAGTCAGGCTGGATTTATCAGGTAGCTGATAGAGAAACTGGTCCACCCACTGTTAGGTATGGAAAGATTTATATGCCTGCAGTCAATAGCTGTGACCTTAACTTACAGTCAACAGGCTGAAGTGGCAGGGGTCAATGAGTCCAAGACCCAGTCATTCCATTGATGAGTGGCTAGAAAGAAAATGCACTGCAGTTTCTAATTTTTTAGTTAAAACTGTGCAGAATTTTACTGGTATTATTGTTTTGGATTACGGGTAGTGATGCAGATGTATATATGACTTTGTGGACATTTATATATTAATAAGCTTCGAAAATGTTAAAGTATACAGAAGTTCATAATGTGGTATGAACAGTTATTTATATAACTTTTAATAGATAAAGAATGCAAATGTTTTTAATAATATATTATGATTATATGTTGTGCGTTGATTATAAAGAAATATACTAAAGATGTATTATATATATCACAATTGGATTAAATAGTATAATATAAATTCATAAATTATTCCAATGTTTATGTAATAAATAATTTAGGGTTATATAGATAATAATAAGCTTCAAATAATAAACTTTATTTTCTCTACAAAAAGATAAAGCTAAAAAGTTATAAACTAAATGCTCATTGTACATAGAGAATGTACTCATTTGCATTTCAGATTATTAAAAAACAAAAAAATCCTTGCTTATCTCTGTTTACCTTTTTATCTAATTTTTTTTACTTTTACAAATGCTCCATTCACTTGGGGAGAAATAAATCCTAGGAATTTAAGAATTTACAGAATTTATCAAAATAAAAATGTTTAGTTGCAAGGAATAATCTGAACAATTCCTAGTTTAACTCTTATTTTCTAGTTTGTTCTAAATGTGGCGTTTTATATCTCTTAAAATTTAATTTTAAACCATGTTGAAAATAAATAAATAAAGTGTAAAAACAAAAAAGCATTAATGAATTTGTTTTTGTAAGTACAGTTAAATATATGATTTCAGTCAAATTTTGAAAAATATGCATTGTGCATAGATGATAAAGCATGCTACTTCTAAATATATATTTTAAGAGTCACAGCACAATTTACTGAATACATAATTTTCTGAATAAAACAGATAAATTAAAAAAATAATAATTTTCAGTTTCAAAATGTCTTTTTTACAAGAGAATCTTTCTGTTATTTAACTTAAAAAGCCATTTATCTTGTAGTCTTCCTCATTTTTTGTTTTTTGTTGTAGACTTTAAAATATTTACTTTCTATAGTGCACCATTTATAAATGAAGGCTCTTTATTGATATTTATGATTCTTAAAAAAACTTTAACTTCCAAAGAACACACATTCCTCATTTCCTTATTTAGATTACAATGTTCTTCAAACTAATGTCTCTTGAGAAATGTTCACTGAAAGGATTTTTGTAAATTAGTCTTGTATGTCATCACGGTGACAGCTCTATTTTGAAGAGCCAAGCAGTTCTTGTTCAGTTTGTGGTACAGAAGTGCAGGCTTCCACAGTGTTGTAATTCATAAATACTTGTATAACGCATAATTGTGCAGTTTGATGTTGTGCAGTGAATCATGTATTTGCAGATGCTTAGAAGCCTCAAATAACTCGTCAGGTTTGTTTGTCATCTCTTATAGACACAGACAGGAAAGATCTTGTAGAGCAGGACTCCACCTTTGCCAAAAGGCAAATGCTTACAGCAATTACTAAGTTCAAGAAAAATGGAAAATGAGAAAGCCAAAAATGTGGGGTGATGTAACATTTCAGCCTCTCAGACAGTCTGTCTGACACATTTAACATTTAAAATCTTTCCATGAAACTTGTTCTGGAGAAGAAACAATTGTGTATTAGCATAATTAGATTTTTTTTTTCATTGGTCTTAGTGATTTCCTTTTGCAAAATTTGTAAATGTTACAATAGAAATGTACATGGTTTTATTTTACATTAAAGTTTAAAAAAATCACCTTATATTTTAACTAATGAATTAATCATTAACTGTGACCTGAAAACTGTATACAATACTTGAAAATGCAAAAACTATCATTATAAAAGCAGTAAAACCATTGGTAAATTCTATAGATTACCAAAAAATAGATCAATAAAATGCAAAGCGAGGATAATTCAATTTCAAAACTCTTCAGTTGTGCAGTTTTACACCTTTTTCCTCTTTTCACAACTTTAACTCATTTAAATTTTTGTACATTAAAAAATGCTGGCTACCACACAATTGAGTTATGTTGACACAACACCAAGGAATTACGTTAACATATTAATTTTTATGAAATGATGTGGATTGAACATCAAACAATTAGGTTGTCCTAAAAAAAACACCTCAAGAATTGTGGTGTTTCAGCTTATTTTATATAAGCAGTTTGAACAAACAGCAAACGTAATTTTTGAGTGTATGCACAGGGCTGATGAGCTGTACACTCAAAAAAAAATATTTGCTGCTTGTTCAAATTAATTTACAATTATTTGTTTTATATTCACTCTTCTTAAATTCGTACAAATTATTAAGTTAACTTAATCAATTTGTGCTGGGAAAACATTTTGTGGAAAACAGCATTTTTACAGTGTAATATCATTGAAAGTGCATTAGCAGTAATTTGTCATGGATTAATAAACACTGCAATTTAAAACAGGTTTCCAACTTTTCCAAATATGAATTATTTCTGAAAGCACACATGATAAAGATCACTTTACAAACATGGCATTATTACATTTCTTAAGGTTTTTTGGGGGACAACTTCATTTTTTTATGTTCAATCTACTTAAATTCATACAAATTATTAAGTTAACATAACCAATTTGTGTTGGGACAACATTGTGTAGGAAACATTTTTTTTACAGAATAGTATTAAAAGTCTTAGCAGGCAGAACTTTAAACGTTTTTTGTCATGCATTAATAAACACTGACATTTAAAACAATTTTCCAACTTTTCCAAATTACATATGAATTATTTCTGAAAGCACACATGATATAGATCACTTTACAAACATGGCATTATCACTGTTTTTTAAGGTTTTTTTGGGGAAAACTTCATTGTTTTATGTTCAGTCTACTTAAATTCGTACAAATGATTAAGTTAACTTCCATTTGTGTTGGACCAACATCAAGAAGTTTTGTGAAAAAATGTTTTTTACAATGTAATTATATTGAAAGTGTATTAGCTGGCAGAACTTTAAAAGTTTTCTTTATCATGCATTAATAAACACTGAAATTTAAAACAATTTTCCAAGTTTTTTAAACTATGTGTGAACTATTTCTGAAAGCACACATGATATAGATCACTTTACAAACATGTAAAGGAATTGTGTGGAAAACAGCATTTTTTTACAGTGTAATATTATTGAAAGTGCATTAGCTGGCAAAACTTTATGCATTTGTCATGCATTAAAAAACACTGAAATTCAAAACAAGTTTCCAACCTTTCCAAATTACATTTGAATTATTTTTGAAAGCACACATGATATAGATCACTTTACAAACATGGAATTATCGCTTTTTCCAGAAGCGATTCTGCTGTTGTTCTGCCAGACGTTTATGACGTGACTCATTTTGAAGAAGCATGATCGAAAACAGGTGTCTAGCCCAGTCATTTTAAAATAATTTGCCTCATAAGATGTAAACCCTCATTTCTTCTTGTGACTTTTTGAAAAAAAAAAAAACTCATGTATGACAATAAGAAATTCACTGTTCATTACAGGAAAGGAAGTATGGCTGAGGTTTACAGTCAATGAAGTCGGAGGGGCGTGTGTTAGCGTGACAGAGGTGGAGCTTAATCCACAGAGAGAGAGAGAGACTCCTCTGTGAGGAGGCCTGTGCCGTCGACCCCGAAAACCCATCCGAGAAGTGTTGCTGGCGCTGCACCACAACATGCGTCTCAATCCCACAGTCACGCGGGAGCATCTCAGCGCATGCTAACACTTGGAGCTGTCATTGCCACCTCCTGTCAGAGCAGTCAAACAATGGAGCAAACCACTGTGAGTGATCAAATTTGAGTTTTGACTTTTGCTTTTACACCTCATGCATATGCAGAAAAGATGGGCGTCTTGAATGTGCCTCCAGGTTTGGGATTGCAATTTTGTTTTGAGGGTCAGAATTGGATTTAGACCCAGCAGCCTGCAAACATAATGGATCACGGTCACAGAGGTAACCGGGTCAATTGCGCAGTGGGTAAATGTTTGACAGGTGTCCTCAAATGTCCCCTTGTGGCGCTTTGGGGCGGCAGGTTGAATGAGATAACCTACACCCTCATTAAAATTCCGTTTCAGTTAGGAAGCCATTTTGACCAAACAGATTTGCTGAAAGTTATGCTCCGCTTGATGTACGTCCATTTTTAAAGTGTTTTGCAAAGGAAATAAAGCTTCCTTTTCAGTTTCCTCTCCAGGTGCTGCAAAAAAGAGCCGTATAAATAAATATCGAGCCGCAAAGTGACTGCAATATTAACTCGATATAGAAAATCAACTTCCATTGTAGGCGGATCTCTGCCAAAAGGTTCAATCTAATTATGGATGCATTGGAGGATCCATTTTCCCTGTAAGCTCAGTCAGAGGTTCCAGTTGAACTTTTAATACAACGGAGAGAGTTGTTTTTTTTCGGCCATGAGAGGGAAAGAGTCGATCATTCTGAAATGACTATGAAATATCCTCGTATGAACTCTCTCACATGCACCTTATGTGTAGGTTAAGACAAATTTGGTTTCACGTTTTCATTAGAAAGCATAATAGATGCCTTAAGACTCACTCAAAGATTAGCATGCTGCTTACTGAGCCTTTTCAATTGTTGTCATTGGACATTCTTAAAGTGATAGTTCGCCCAAAAATAAAGGTTTACTCAATATACACTCTCAGAAATATTGGTACAAGAGCTGTCTTTGAGGTGGTACCTTTTTAAAATGTACATATTTGTACTTAAAGGGTGTATATATTGATACCTTAAAGGTATATATTAGCACCTAAAAATTTCAAGAAGTACGCTTTGTATTTTTTAGGTAATAATATGTACCCTTGGGGTATTAATAAGTACCCTTTAAGTGCAAATATGCACCTTTCGAAAGGGTACCATCCCAGTGACGGCTCTTTCTGTGTATACTCACCCGCAAGTGTTTCTTGAGTTCCTTTATTCTGTTAAACACAAAAGAAAATAGCAGAAAACCTGTAACTACTGACTTCCATAGTAGGAAAAACAAACAGTGTGGAAGTCAATGATTACAGGTTTTCAACATTCTTCAAAATATCTCCATTTGTGGTTAACTGAGGAAAGAAAGTCAAACAGGTTTGGAACACGTAAAGGGTGAGGAGATGATGACAGGTTGCTGTTTTTTTTTTGGTGAACTATCTGTTAAATAGTAACACGTTTGAGAGCAGGTATCAGTAAGTAATGTAGACTAAAAGGGCACAAACTCATGATTTTAGCTTGAGGAGCAGAGCTTATACAGATCTTCCAAGGTTCATAAAGTCAGCCATGGGTAATCTGACTATTGAAATGACGTAAAGAGGATCCAGATGTCTAAGGCTACTAGTGGAAATGCTTCTGTTTTGCATTTTTCTAGTTTAATACAAACATTTCTTATTGCACATTGAATTATATTTTTTTTAAAAAGGATTGAACAAAATTTTTTGTTTCCGAATGCCTTTAGCTCGCACTACATGATTCCACAAATTAATGATGATCATCATATTTTTCATCAAGATTTGAGATGATTTAAAGGCTCAGTGGATTAAGTGCATTAGGTCAAATTTGTTTCTTAGAGTAATATTGAATAGTGCATAATCCAAAATATTTCATATTCATTTTATTGCATGCTTTTTTTGCTAGTTAGTTTGAAGTCACAGTGACAAAACAGATATTTTCTTTATTGCAACATATCTGGGTGTAATGGATTTTCTAAACAACAAAAATGCAGGGCGGGACTTAGTCTCAGCCTCAGGCATCACATCCACAGGCAGTTGGCTGAACATTTGATGCATAAAACGTTCTACAGAGAGATTAGAATCTAATAAACAAGTATGGAGAGTGTACGATATTGACACCTATCCAGTTGTAGGCTACAATGCAAGTTAGCTTAGAAGTATGTAAGTCACAGTGCTAAATAAATAGAGCAAGAAGAAACACTTTGGAGACAGCCAGAGAACACGTTGCCTTTTATTTTTGCTTTTCTTATGTGAAAGATTTATCACCATGTCACGATGGTATTGAAACATGCCGTTTAGGAGACACAATTACAGATGTACCCATTTGAAAATTTTGTCTGGTACCGATAACTCTTTACATTCACATTTTATTGAACACATGTTATAAGATGCTGACATTATGAATTGCGATTGGTTGCTGTACACCATAGTGTGAGCAGTGCATGAACAATGAAAATTACAATCTACACTAGCTTACAGGGTTTGGGACTTGTGGAGCTGTGCATCACTGGATTTGCTCTTCAGTGTCTGGACTTTTAGAAGTGAAAATTAAACCACACTGAACTGAACTAAACTGAACTTAAACTCTGAAAACTGGACTAACACAGTTTCAATTTACTATAATTAAGCTTATAAGCTTATGTTATGCTGCTTTGACACAATCTACAATTGTAAAAGCGCTATAGAAATAAAGATGAATTTAATTTAATTTAATTCAATTTAATTTAATTTAATTTAATTGCATACTATAGTCCAGTCTAAACCTTCTGCCATCAGTCTGAAGTTCTGACTAGGCCAAACTTGGTGGTTCTTGATTCTGTTCTTTGATTGGATTTTGAGGTGTTCATGTTGGAAAATAAGATTTCACAGTGTCATCTCAGATTTCACCGCCTCATGTAACACACAAATTGGCTTTAAAGCATACAGATTGATTTTTATATATCTGAAGTAAAGATCACATGCAGTCTATTGCTTTGGCATAAAAAATAAATTGATCATTCGAAATGTCTCGATAAATCTATAATCACAACAGGTTTACTGTATATCCTCCATTTATGATTGTAGTCTGTATCAACCCTCAGTTTTTACTCAGAGCTTGTGCATACTGTGAAGCAGCGATCTGTCCCGTTCCCAGCGTGCTTTTCTGCATGTGCAGCATGGGGTGAAGCAAGTGAAAGAGGACATTGTTCGTGTCTTAGTGAGGCATGTTGCATGCACTTATAACTCTGAGTGGGTGAAGTTTCCCCCATCATGCACCAGGAATGCCTTTGAATGACTGGATTGTGTGGAAGAGGAGAGCAGCAGGCGCTCAGCGCTTTTGTTTTTATTTTTCACTCTCTCTCATCTCTGTGATAATCTCTCTTCTGCTTAACCCAAAAAGAGACAACTGCCATTATTTACTCATCTTCAGGCCATTCCAGACCGGACATTTATTGTAATCAAAGCCAATGGGGTTTAAAACAACATTTTAGACCCCACTGACATTAATAAAGTGATGAAATGAGCGTGAGTGACAGTGTAGATAGCTTTGAGGGTATAGAGACATTGCACTTTAGGGCCCCGTTTACACTAGTGCGTTTTAGTTTTAAAATGGCGTTGTAGAATGAAAACGATCCGCGTCCACACTCGCGTTTTACCCAGCGTTTCTGAACTGCTCTCCGTCCACACCAAAACGCTGAAAACGCACATCACGTGACCACACAGACACTCTCGGGCAAGCGCTCCAGCATGTCTACCCAGATGAGAGCTCTGCTTGTCGGACTGCTCATCAAGCATCTCCCGCTGGATCTAATCTCACTATATTTGCTAAACGTGATATTTCATTCATGTTGTTGTCTTTATCTAACGACATAGGCCAATTCCCTGACTTTGGTCATTGGAATCTATTAAGTTACTTGTTCACAGGTAACATGTTTTGGTTAAGCGCAAAGATAAGTTAATGATTAATCCAGGTACATTGACTGATCGCTTGCCTTTATTTCCTACAATGTATAAACTTATTGTATGTTATACTTTTATAATTATCGATTATTAAAACTGATATTCAGCAAAAGAGAGGGTGCGTTTCGTATTTTCACTGAAATTGAAAGGAGGCAGTTGTTATCGGCTCCGTTTTGTTATAAATATCCACACAGTGAAGATGACGCTCATATATGCAGCACGGCGCCTCAACATTTCTGCTGTCTGTTAAGTTGCTAATATTAAAAAGAAAATATGCAGTTCCTTAAATCATGTTTATGTTTTATTGTTGAGAAAGTGAAACAACGTAGCCAAGGTGATGTGAATGAAGTTATAAAGTACACGGTTCCCTGTGAAGATTGACGCGTGTCCTCGGTATGTTTTCCATATCAAACTGAGAAGAAGAGATGCAGCCTTGATCAAACTTGCCAAGTCTGAACTTACACGGAGAGAAAGCAGGACTGAACTGTGCGTGTTAGGCTACTTAATATTCAGGAAAAGCCCCAATCAGAGAGGCGAACGTCTGCAGCCCCGCCTCCGTTTTCAGATGTCTCCGTTTTCCATCATCCACACTGAGACGGAGCAGCAGCGTTTCAGAATGAAAACGGCCTCTCCAGCGTTTTCGAAACGCTCCGTTTTCGGCGCTCGAGAACTCCGGCGTAGTGTGGACGAATGGCGTAACCGTAGCAAAACTTATGCGTTTTCAAACTAAAACGCACTAGTGTAAACGGGGCCTAGGTGTCCCAAGTTTGAATCTCAAACCTTCCCTCCCTTCTCTCTCTCTCTCCAACTTCACTTTCTGTCCAGCTACCAATCTATCATTAAAGCAAAAAATGGCAAAAGTAAATTTTTTAAAATGTAATAAGGAAATGAGGTTGAGAATTTATAGAATTAATTTCTGCCTGAACCAGATTTGCTGTGACTTTTATTTCAGTATGTTGGTATGTTTCCAACTAAAAGGGAATATTGATGGGGGATGGGGCTTTCTTTTACGCGTCATTCTCTAATAGTAAACTAATGGTAAGAGAGGCTTTCCATTTATAACAAAAACAGTACTGCAAGACACTTTTGGTTTTAACAAACAGAACTTAGAACCTGTCATTTAAAAA